ATAGCAAAGTTTGGAAGCTGAAATTTTCAGGAAATATTCCTAGCCCATTTACGACTTGAGTTCATCAAATTCACCCCCCCTCCCCCTCCCAGGCATGCGTGGTTCTCATGTACGGCCCGTGAGATTTTTCGGCGGGCAAATGGCTAGCTCGGAAATTAGTAAAGATGAGAAGCTGAAATTTTCAGGGAATGTTCCCAATCCGCTTACGACTTAAAGTTATCAAATTCAGCCCCCAGGCGTGCGTGGCTCTCGTGCACGGGCACATAGATTTCTGGCGAGAAATTACTCATTGAACGGCTGGGTCATTTCCAAAAAACTACCGCTAAACGGATATTGTTTATTTTTTTTTATGCAAAATATAGAATGAGTTACGGTATTGAGAGCACAAGATAGGTGTAAAGAAAAACAACCACTCATGCAGTTAACCAAATTATTTCAAGTCTTGTGCAAAAACGCATGATCGCACCGGCTCGCCTGGTGCGTTTCAGCCTGGGTTTTGAACTGCAGCGAACCATAATGACAAACTGTTTCAATAATAAATTATTCGTCCAGTGCGACTGTTTGAATTTTAGTTATGCTTAAAAGCAAGAAACGCAAGACAGGACGTATACTTACCTCATTTTTTTATATGATAAAATAAGCCAACCCCTCCATGCAAGCAACGCTTGTTTTTTAAAAATTCAATATCTAAGTTATAGATCTCGTAATCAAAAAATATCTTTTTGAAAAAAGACAAGTTTCTATTTTCAGAATTCTGTTTCGAACAATCTAAGACAACTTTCTCACTATTGATAGACGATTCTTTTGAAAGATTTGTTTCCAACTTTACTGTTTTTAAACTTCACTAAATGAAAGTAAATGCAAAATTTAAGAAAAATATAAATATGTATCTAAGTGAGTACCTCGGTGCGAACGACTCCTGGCCAAAGCGATACCACAGTGACTCCTCGGCTGCGCAGCTCAGCTGCCATATCGGATGCCATACGATCCATCGCTGCCTTACCGACTCCATATGGAACCGTAAAAAGATAAAACAGACCTCCGGCAGAGCTTATATTAATAATGATTCCTGTCTGACGTTTGGCCATCATGCGTGCTGCATATACACTGCAGTAATAGTGATTACGAAGACCGACATCATTCACCTGAAACGAATAAACATATTCCTTATGAAACCGCAGTAAACCCAAAAACTCCATACAGCCCCACTAAACTCCTTGTGCACCAGAAATGTCGTCGCGATCATGAGTTCTTGCCATCTGCTAAACCCCGGCTGGAACGCACCAGGCTCTCCAGTGAGATCATGCGTTTTTGCACTAAACTCGCAGATCGCTATTAGCAAGAATGATTCCTACGCTGTATCCTAATAATTCGGTTAATATTGGCCGTGCTTTGGCCCCTTCCGGCATGCAGGAGGAAGGGCGTCAGTTGGGATGAAGTTGGTGCATTATAGAGCCGCACGGAAATCCAGGTGCATGATTACCGGTTTTTTGCATGAAGTCCGGTTGTTTCTTCGGTAAATGTACGGTTTATAAAAAAATGACAAATGCGAATTTCTTGAAATGCAAATTTCCAGTTCACTAAAAAGTAGAAGTATTGCCCGAGCGGTCGTTTTCAAAAAAACCGTGTTCATTTACATATACGATTGCGGTTAAGGTCCGAGTTGCTAATGATTTTTGGGATCAGGAGCTGCTTGAGGCTGTGGTTGGGGAGCTAGAGGGCTGAGCTTAAAACCTTTGTCTCGCACGTGCATTGAGAATATCCCTGAAAAGTTTCAGCTTTCTATATTGCCTGGTTCGCGAAATCGTTTCCCGCCAATAAATTTCTTTGGGGGTCTCGTGCGCGGGGTTTAGGCGCGTATTGGGGAAGATCTTAAAACGGGAGGATGACA